ATGAGTCGGTGAAACTCCGACGAAACAGTTTGTCACAGCCCCTCGTTTGTTGTCCTCTTCTCCCTCTCTGCCTACGGTTTACCGGGCAGTTCTATTTGACGATATATATATATATATATAACGATATATATATATATATATATAAACAGTTTGTCACAGCCCCTCGTTTGTTGTCCTCTTCTCTCTCTCTGCCTACGGTTTTACCGGGCAGTTCTGTTTGTGACGATATATATATACAGGGTAATCGGCGTTCGGGACGGGCCGAACGCCCGAACCCGAACGCCCGAATGTATGGGACCCTTTGGGGATGCGTTTGGCCGTTCGGGCCGAACGCGGACCAAAAAAAAAAAAAAAAAAAAGACGTTCATCAAAAAAATCTGAACAAAAGAATTGTTATGGAGAAAAATAAATTAAACAAGATTTGCCTGAGCATTACATCCGAATTCCTCACCAAATTTGAAATAAAAATAAAATACAGAAAACAGATACTAATAATAAAAATAAATAAAAATGAAAAGAGAATTAAATTTAGTGAGTGCGCGAGCATGTTTTCGACACCGCCATCTTTGGCGATTTTTCATTTTTTCTTGGCATAGCTAAATGCCCTGAAAATTTACAGATGTGTACTTCACATAATACAAAAACCACTAAAAAAGTTTCAAAAATAATAAAATTGTTTAGACCCCGAACTACAGTGAAAACAAAAAGTAAAAAGTGAAAAAATACGTGTGTGAGCACGTTTTGACACCGCCATCTTTGGCGATTTTTAATTCTTATTTGGCTAAGCCAAATGACTTGAAAATTTACAGGCATGTACCTCACATCATAAACAACTCACAAAAAAAAATTCAGAAAAATATAATTATTTTTAGACCTCGAAATAATTTTTGGCGGGGGCTGAACGCCGTCGGGTTCGGACCCCGTACGGGACCCCGAACGCCCGTACATACGGAGGTTTGCCCGGGGACCTCCGTACGTATGGGCTGGTGATCCTGTATATATATATATATTAAAAAAGAAAGCAAGGAAGGAAAAACACAAAAAAAGAAACCTGAGAAAAAAGAAAAAAGAAAAAAGAAAAAAGAAAAATTTGTTATGTGGGATGGTAATTGGATTATCTGTGGGATGTGTGACTTGCTTCGTCTGTTTAATAGGCTTTCTTCTTCTGTGAGGTTTGGTTTCCTCCGCCTTTTCTTTACCTCTTTGCCTTTTGCTTCGTCTGTTTAATAGGCTTTCTTCTTCTGTGAGGTTTGGTTTCCTCCGCCTTTTCTTTACCTCTTTGCCTTTTGGCTGCGTGCAAGTGGGTCTTTATGACACACGGGGATGGGGGCAGCCGACGCTGAACCTGTCATCCACGTGGCTGGCCTTGTACGTAAGAGGTGACGAACAGGTGGGGCTTTCCTTACTTCTTTTTCTTTTTCTTGTTTTGTCTTTTTCCGCCTTTGCGATCCGATTTCCAATGTGACAATATATACATATATATATTGCGTGTTGCTCCTGACATGACCTTACCAGACTTTGCTCCTGACATGACCTTACCAGACTCCTTGAACTGCGAATGCCGCAGGGCCTTTCCGCATTGTTCAGATCTTGTGGACGGCCATGTTGTCTCTGTTGATTACCATATCATCTCAGACGATAACCTTCGCAAGCTTTTTCAAGAAGGTTCTAAATATYGTTTGAACGGGGAGACTGCTGATGTGCTCCAAGCACTGGCRATCGGACTCGATGAGTACATTGCCAGTTACAAGAATACATTTGCTAGACACTCTCGATCTGCTTCTTTCTCGTCCCTTTCTCAGAAATTGCACAGCTGGCGTTCTGCAATCCTTGGGCATTGTCAATCCAATGTGACTTCGTCTTCCAATCATGTGAGCCAGCAACATTCACTTCGTTGTGCACATGCCTCCTTACGTCATCTGCAACAACACTTTGCCATTGTTCCTGTGGACAAATCATCCCACAATTTGGCAATTTGTTGCAAGAATTGGTATTTGTTTCACCTCTCTACCCATTTGGACAGTCCCACTTATACTCGTCCTCATGAAT